CTGCCGACGCACACCTGATATCTATGGTCGACCTGCAAATTCGGCCTACCGATATCCATGCCGAAAATTCCATACTTGTACCAAAAATACAGTATGGAATCAAGCTGTAATAAAAATATAATCAAAATACAATAATATAGAGAAGGATTCTTCTACGCTGGCTGGTTTTGTGGCCGGTTTGCACGAGATGTTCCAATAACGAGCGGTTAATAGTTCTCACTACACCCTTACTTAGCCATGCTGGGAGATGTTCTCGAGTGAGCACGAAAAATCAAGCTCCTAGAGCAACGGCCATAATAATGTCGTCGCCTTTATAGTCAATGAAAATAAGCTTCTCACTGACTATAGCTGTATCAAGCTTCTTGAGTTCATTCATGTCATATTTGTTAATGAAACTTTATGGGTAACCATTTTCTTTCAAGTAATTTTTTCAAGAAGCATTAGTTCACTGTCTAGTTTGTTTGGTGTGGTGAACATATTCTCTTCGCTCTAGAGAAAAGCGTTTTCACCAATGTTCTTTTGTATCTCGCTGGGCAGAAGCTGTTGAAATTCAAGTGAAAAACACTCTATGTGTCTTTACGATGTACAGCTCTTAGAATATGCAGATGACATAGTCCTGTTAGGGAAGGATGCTGAAAAAATGCAGAGTCTTCTGAACACCTTGAGCAGCAATCTCCGTATGTTTGGCATGCGATTCGCCCCTGCAAAATGTAAGATGCTGCTACAGGACTGGACCACGTCAACCCCTAACTTAGTGATAGGGAGGGAAGTGATAGAACATGTTGACCACTTCGCCTACTTGGGAAGTTGTATCAGCACCAACGGACTGATTGGCGATGAAATCTCAGCAAGGATCCGAAAAGCTCGAGCTGCTTTCGCTGACTTACACCATCTCTGGCGTAGGCGTGACATCCGGTTATCAACCAAGGGACGTGTGTACTGCTCAGCAGTTCGCTCCGTCCTTCTCTATGGCTCTGAAACATGGCCAATACACGTTGAAGACATGAAAAGGTTGACTGCTTTCGATCATAGATGTCTGCGATCTCTGTCTCACGTTAGGTGGTTTCACAAGATAAGTAATGTTGACGTTAGGCGTAGAGTGTTGGGCAAAGAGGGAAAATCAATCGACGAGGCTATAAAGTTACGTAGATTGAGATGGCTAGGTCACGTGCTGCGCATGCCTAACCACCGCCTCCCCCGACGGGCATTGCTAGCTGATATAGGTTCAGGTTGGAAAAGAGCCAGTGGTGGCCAAACAAAAACATGGCATCAATCCATGAAATCCTTGACAGTTAAACTGAGTCAGGTAGGGAGATGCAGACTCCCGGGTTGGGGCCCTCGGGACTCTAGGAATCAATGGCTGGAGACAATAGGTGACATGGCTCAAAATCGTTGTCAGTAGCGCAGATGTATTCAGTCTCTGTAATCTTTCATATTCCTTTCTACCATTACCCATTCTGCTTCACTCTTATACTTGTCAAACTCTATTGATTCTCTTCACTCATCTTCTTGTCTACCTCTGTGTGCTATTTGGAAGGTGGCAACTCGAACTGCTGCACTTCGGTGCCAAGTTCTATGTTGAATCCAGACAGACAGCTCTTTCGAGTATCCCGTTGTATCTTCTCTCCAACTTAACGTCCAAAAAAATGGAATTTTTCATCATCTTTATGTTACATCGTGAAAGTAATGCTTTTGTGCAGATTGTTGAAAGAGTCTAATAGATACGTAGCGTGACTCAAACCATTGCATACATTGAATGTGTCATCAACGTATCTATAATAGGCTGTTATTTCGCCAATCGCACACTTGAGCTTTGTCTGTTCCAGACTAGGCCATAAAGATATCAGCTAATATCGGGCCCAGTAGACTCCCCGTTGCCACGCCACCAACCTGGCGATACTTTGTTGTCAAACTGGAATTGTTATATCATTAGTACATAACACGAGAAGCTGCTTAAATTCCAGTTTTGGTCGAGGAAGAAGATCAGAGTGTTGACAGATGATGTCTAATGTCTCATACAGAAGGATATGCGTGAATAGAGAAGTCACATCGAAGGGAACCATGATTTTGTCATGTACATTGATTGAGTTGATTCACCTCTTCAACAAAAATTGGAACGAGTCTTTTAGAGTATGTTTAGCTAGACGTTGTCTGACAGGTTCTAACCTATCCGCTAACCAGCGAGCAAATTTGTGAAAGGGTGAATTTTACCATTGAGAGTATTGGTCTCATTGGGCAGTGTATCTTCGGCAGACCATACATATATGTGGTAGACGAGTCCCCGTGGGTTTTTAACTCATTGCACGTATGATTTTCAATCATTTTCTTTTTTTAATAGCTCTCTGAATACTTTCGTGACTTTCTTTTCTGCCGAATCCGTCATATATCCTTCTTGAAGTTATCAATCTTAAATTTCGATAAGATAATAAACAACGTCTTCTTATTGTGTTGTCGAAATTCATAAAAGGGAATTAATTGCTTTACATTTTTTACATTGCATCCCTTGGTACTCATTCTCTTTTGAGATATACTGCCTTTGATTGATCTATTGTCTGTCTGTCTGTCCGTTTTCGACATAGAACTTTGCACAAATGTGCGGAAGTTCAAGTCGCCACTCTCCCTCCTTGTAGCACACGAAGCAAGAAAAGCATAATAGAGACAGTAAGCAGAGGTGTGAGACAAAGGAAGAGTAATAACGAAGAACAAAACAGTTTCATTGTAGATCATAAGTCACAAAGAGTGGATGCATCTGCATCAGCCATCGAGAACGATTTTGAGCCATATCACCAATTGTCTCCAACCACTGATTTTTACCGTCTCCGGGACCCAAACCAGGAAGTCTACACCTTCCTACGTGGCTTGAACTAACTGTTGTAGATTTCATTGACTGGTGTCAAGTTTTTGTTTGACCACCGCTAGCTTTTTTCCAGCCTTACCCTACGTCAGCTAACAACTCTTGTCGGTCGAGGAAGGCGATGACTAGGAATATGTAACACATGTCCTAACCATCTCAGTCGATGTAATTTCATAGCCTCGTCTATTGATTTCCCTTCCTTACACAGTACTCGACCGAGGCCTAACCTCAATATTGCTCACCTTATTATGCCACTTCACACGGGAGATAGAACGCAGGCACCTATGACCAAAGACAGCTAGTCCTTTCATGTCTTCCACTCTCAATGGTCAGGTCTCACAGATAGCCATAAAGGAGGACGGAGCGGACTGATGAGCAGTACACCCGCCCTTTAGTCGATAGTCGAATATCTCGTCTACGCCAGAGACGGCGTAAACTGGCAAATGCGAAACGAGCCTTGTGTATCCGTGCTGAGATTTCGTCAGAGATCAACCCGTTGGCACCGGTTGATGGTACTTCCCAAATAAGTGAAGCGGTCAACGTGCTCTACCACTTCACTCCCTATTTCTAATCTAGAAGTCGGTGTAGTCCAGTCCTGTAACATCACCTTGCATTTGGCGGGAGCGAATCGCATGCCAAACCTTTGTAGATTCCAGCTCAAGAAGATTCTACATTTTTCAGCGTCCTCGCCTAGAAGGACTATATCGTCTGCATATTCCAAGTCAACGAAATTATTCCCTGGTAGCAAATCAATCCTGAGTCTCTGAAGTGAGTTGGGGTTAAGTCCATTAGTGCATCTATGATGAAGTTGAATAGAAAAGGGGATAATGGGCATCCTTGACGAACACCGCTAGTCGTCACCAGTTCAGATGACAACTCTCCGTAAGCCCTCACCTGGCTGTATGAGTACGAGTAGAGTGCCTTAATCAGTGCAATGTATTTTCTCGGAATTCCCTTTACAGCTAAGCATCTCCAGAGAACCTCTCGGTCGACAGAATCGAATGACACCTTTAGGTCAAGGAATATAGTGATTGTTGGACGCCGGTAGGAATCCCTATGTTCTAGAATCTGTCAGAGGGTGAAGATATGATCCTCAAACTTCTGCATACTTTCTTTCAGTTGAAAAAAACAAAACCAAACAAAGCGACGACTATGACAACAGTTGTATACACATATTTTAGAGAGCAAAAAAATAAAAATATCAATACAGTTTTTGAATAATATTTCTCTTATCTCTCTCTCTCTCCCTCTCTATTGCTGTATTGATTGCTTTTATTTTGGTCTGTTTTCTTGTTTTTCAAAAGAAATCTCTGACCGATAAAAGACCGATTGTCATTCATTTCAGCAGCAGTCATCATGAGATTTGTCTTAAATCGATAAATGAGTTATTTCTGCAACGATTTTAATTATTGGCATGGTAGCATATATATGTATGGTTATTTTGATAAAGAAAAATGCAATGTATGCAGAGATATTTTACGATTTTAAAAAAATTGAAGAAAAATATGCGGTTTATATAAAAAAATAAGTCGAGAAATTTCATTTTTGTCTGGGAGAACGATTAAAAATTATTATAGAGTACTGGACAACTGTTTCGTCTTAATTTGAGAGATTTCATCCGTACTCACTGCCCGTTGGGGTTCGAACTCAGGACGTTTTTCGCGTAGTCTAGTTGCCGGTAATCTGTGATCATATTTGAAACTAAACAAATCCTCATAAAATTAATCTGATGCTGACTAGTGACCGACTACAGGACGTGATTGCCGTGGGTTCCTAGTGAGAAGTTGGTGTGGTGTGGTGTGTGGGGTGGCTGGCTGGCGATTATATGGTATATCCGTTCCTCGTAGTGATATCCCTTTTATTCGATAATTATAAGAGTGTTTCAATAAATAGGGGAAAATATACCAGAATGATATTGGTGGTACAGCAGTTAGGACTCTTTGGGCTACCGATTTCATATGCTGAAAATTCCGTACTTGTACTAAAAATACGGTGTGAATCAAGCTGTAATAAAAAAAACATCTTTGTGCTGATGGGGTGTGATGATTTGAATGTTAAATTGTTCAAGTGTTCTAGATACTTTTTCTTGCATACATTTTCTTTCTTTCCTCTCTTTTTCTTCCCCTTCTTCAATGTTTTCCAATAGGCATTGGTCTATCATTTATCTATTTACCAGCTATAGCTACTGTTGGCCATTGGTTTCAACAGAAACGTCCCCTTGCTGTTGGTTTAGCATTATGCGGTAGTGGAATGGGTTGTTTAATTGGTGGTCAAGCTATCCCACGGTTGATTATCTTATTCACATGGCGTGGTACATTGATTATACTAGCAGCAGTGTGTTTTCAATGCCTAGTAAGTGATATTTTCTGAATTTTTAAAGTTTTTGGTGTTATTTCATATTGGGGGGGGGGAGTATTTTGGGTTGATAGGCTTGAGTAATATGTGGGAGGATTGAAGGTGAGGTAAAAGATTTTAGTTAATAATAATTTGAAGTTTTCAAAAGAATGGATCCTGAAGAAAGAATACTGTTTTCGATAAATTTGTCATCAGGCTTTACAGTTATATATACATTATAGTGAATGAATGAATTAGTGTTATGAACAATATTAATGCTGTTTAAATAACATCGAATCAGTAATAATGTCAATAGATTAGAGTTCAATAGCATCAAAATAACAATAAAATGAATGTCATAAAAATTAGGAAAGATAATAGTACAAATTCGTGAATTTATAGTCTCTACTGAAGGTCAGCCAGGGCAGTAGTACTGGCTGGACTTGCTTCTTTTTCACACAGATCGCTGGTTGTTTGAGGCGAATTGCAATAGCCTCTGCTGTTTGGAGCATGCGGTGCTTCGATGATTTTGGCAATTTATAAGGCACCCGGTAAATGATAGAGAACGATTTTTGCACGCTGACTGGCTTTGTGGCCGGTTTGCACCAGATGGTCCAATATCGAAATGTCAATGGTTTTCAATACACCCTACTTAGCCATACTGTGAGATGTTCCCCAGGGAGTACGGAAAATCAAGTTCCTAGAGCAACGGCCAATATAACTCGCTTCACAAGCACCGTTTAATTGGTAGATACAATCTGAAGTGGCTAGCTAGTCGAGGTACTTCATCTTTCAATCAAGGCATCATCATCGGTCGTGTAGAGAATAAAACGTATAGTTTTCCAGCATTAAAAGTTCTGTGAACTGATTTTGTTAATTTTTTTTTCGTAATTATATCACTTGGTTTATCGCCCTTGAAGTTCGACCATGGTGGATTGATATCAGTTAGAGAATCATTGAAAACCCTGAAGTACTAGACAGTTGCTTTATCCTAGATTGCATCCTACCGATTAGTCCAAAATTAGGACTCCCCAGTGGTTTTCTCTGGTGGTTCTCTAACTGTGATATCAATTTCAACAAACAAATGAAATACCTACAAACTAACTTTTGAAAATTAATTCGATGCTTGCCAGTGACTGACTAAAAGACGAATTTGTTTGGAGTCTTGGTGAAAGTTTGTGGTTGTTTTCATCCTTCCTGTCAGGCTTGAGGACAAATACTCACCGCGGATGAGATTACCTAGTGGTTGCGGTAAAATCATGAATTGGTAGGAGTTAGAATACATCGTCTGGTCATTGAGTTGGTTCCGATTGGCTGAATAGTTTACAGGCTTTCTTTGTAACCAGCAGGTCCTAGATTCTAACACTAGTGGTTGGGTGCTGATGACGAGTCCCAAAGTAGGGCGAAACAGATGCCAAGTACTGCCTAAGGGTTTTCAATGGTTCTCTAATTGACACGAATCTGTGGTCAGACACGTAATCAATCAATTCTCCACAAACTAACTCTTGAAAATAATGATTTGCTCTACTCCGAAACATTACTCGTGTTACAGCATGAGAATCCCAGCATTCGACACAATGTTGCATTTAATTTACCAATAAATACACTACATGGTGTAGGCAACGGCATCTTTCCCGCATTAACAGTAATAATAAATTCAAAAATGTACGAAAAGTATAGAATAAATGAAATTTTGTCACCATAAATTACAAATATGAGAATATCAAAGAGTTAGATAGTTGGAGCCAATCGACAGTGGTCAGGAGGTCCTACAGGAGGTCAGTCGAGAGCCAGCCCTAATAGCTCAGTAGTAATATCTCTGACTGCAGCACTGGGTGATGCAGATTCAAATCACAGGAGGGACATGAGTTCCTTCAATGTTACAGAGATATACGCCTTGCTGGCGAGTGTCAACTAGCACGAAATCTAAGTGGTTCAAGGCTTCCTGTGTCTGATTGCCTCCAACTCTCTAATATCATCAAATCAATGTGAACCATTATGTTGAGCTACCTAGAATGGTGGCCACATTGCAAACCTGAATGATAAAATTCAGTCTACACCAAAGAAAGGACTAGACACGTCGCACTAGTTATTAGTTTTCAATCCAAATATCAAAGAATTATTTATTTGAACAAAGCAAGAACAACAATTGTACCAAGATAATATGAGCTCATTTTTTATTATTATTATTATTATTAATTTTTCTAATTACGTAGTAATTTTCAAGTATTGGTTTTTGTGGAGATTTAGTTTGATTGGTTGGAGGATTTCATCGTGAGCTGACACCAGTCATAGAACCATTGGACAGTTGTTTCGTTTTGGTTTGGAACTCTTCAATAGTACGCACCTACCGCCAGGGTTCGAACCCAGGACCTTCTGGTTACAAAGCGAGCTTGTAGCCATTAAGCCGCTGGGACCTGATCCAATGACCAATCCATGAATTCTAACTTCTGCCAAATTGTGACATAGCGTGACCACTTCATCTGATGCTCCTAGCGACTGACCCTATTCAGGTAGGTAGTCGCTTGGGGTTCTAGTGGGAGGCCGTGACCTGTAGGATGCAGCAGGTTGAAAGTGAGGGAGTAACTCATCGAAGAAGATATTGCGAAGTGGTTGCGCTATTTCATGAATTGGCTGACGTTAGAGTTCATGGACTAGCTGGCCATTTGATCGGGTCCCAGTGGCTTAATGGTCTACGACGAGCTTGCTGGCCTTGTAACCAGAAGATTCTGGGTTTGAACCCTGGAGGCGGGTGCGAACTGATGAAGAGTCCCGAACTAGGTGACGAAACAGGTGGCTGTGCAGTACTCCCAGCTGGTTTTTCAATGGTTCTCTAACCGATGTCAGCTCATGATGAAATCCTCCAACCAATTACAAAGTAAGCCATAAGTTTCATGCTCAACACTTTCTCTATCACATAGAATGTGGGCGGGTCAAATAAGTTATCGTTGAGTTTTTGTACTTCATTATGTCAGCGTATAATCCTTCATAGTGACGTCTAGGCCTACCTGATGAGATGCAAGGAAGGAGAGATTTGTGAATGACGAGGGTGTTGACAGTCAAACAATATAGATTTCTTCAATTTCTCTCAAGTCTTCAAGTATCTGTCAACTACAGGGTAACGAGATGACTTAGCGGTGCACTACTTGCCCTTATGACAACCTTTAATATGCTTCTCAATATCACGTAGTCGTTTTCGAATAGCCCAGGAGATACTAATGGGGAGCAATAAATAATAGTAGGCGAGATGGTAGAGTTAATAAGCTGTAATAGTAGAGGTTGCCTTAACATTTCCTTAGAAATCAGAAAAGACATGAAATGACCAAGAAAAGTCAAAGGAAATAACTATTCCAAGGTATTCAAAACTTGACTTAGTTACTATTTCAGTGCTCTGTATTCTACAAGCATCTTATATTCGAATAACTTCGTGTAGATCACGTATATGTGTTAGAATTTGAATCATTGGCATTTATCTTCGGTGATTTCAGTCGTATAACTGAAAACAGTTTGTCAGATCCCTGGAAACAAACATTTGAGAATTAATCTGATACTCGATAATTGACTGACTACACATGATGATGATGCCTCGTTTCTTTGTGAGTAGTCGTGAGCCCCATTAGGGCTGTGGGAACACATACTCGCCTATGTCATTGGCTGACAGTTGCGAAGGAGTAAGAATTCATGCGCCATATGGATATATATATATATTACTGATTGACATCAACAGTTGGAAACTACTCATATCAACCGGTAGTTGATGTTCGCTAGCCAGATTAAAAGTGATCTAACTAACGAACAACGGATTTCGCACAGTAGACAGAAGGAGCTCATCAGAATTCAAAGATATAAACCAGACGCCAATAAGAATTACCAGTCTGGTGGTCAACTAACTGGAGGTACAAATTCAATCTACTAACTAGGTCATACTTTCAAGTTTGATAAGAAACCAACTTCAATGAAACAGTCATTGAAACCCATAACTGTTTCGTCCCAGTTTGAGACTCTTCAACAGTGCGCAGCCACAACCCTAAGTACCGTGGGACTGAACCCGGAACCTTCAGGTTACAAAGGAAGCCTGCTAACCATCCAGCTAATTGATACGGAATCCAAATGGCGCATGTATTCTTACTCCTGCGCAACTGTCAGCCAATGACATAGGCGAGTATGTTTTCTCACAGCCTAAGAAACAACGCAACATCATCATGCGTAGCCAGTCAACTAGCGAGATTGATTTTCGAGTGTTTGTTTCCAGGGTTCTGACAAACTGTTTTCAGTTATAAGACTGAAATCACCGAAGATAAATGCCAATGATTCAAATTCTAACACATATACGTGATCTACACGAAGTTATTCGAATATAAGATGCTTGTAGAATACAGAGCACTGAAATAGTAACTAAGTCAAGTTTTGAATACCTTGGAATAGTTATTTCCTTTGACTTTTCTTGGTCATTTCATGTCTTTTCTGATTTCTAAGGAAATGTTAAGGCAACCTCTACTATTACAGCTTATTAACTCTAGCATCTCGCCTACTATTATTTATTGCTCCCCATTAGTATCTCCTGGGCTATTCGAAAACGACTACGTGATATTGAGAAGCATATTAAAGGTTGTCATAAGGGCAAGTAGTACACCGCTAAGTCATCTCGTTACCCCTGTAGTTGACAGATACTTGAAGACTTGAGAGAAATTGAAGAAATCTATATTGTTTGACTGTCAGCACCCTCGTCATTCACAAATCTCTCCTTCCTTGCATCTCATCAGGTAGGCCTAGACGTCACTATGAAGGATTATACGCTGGCATAATGAAGTACAAAAACTCAACGATAACTTATTTGACCCGCCCACATTCTATGTGATAGAGAAAGTGTTGAGCATGAAACTTATGGCTTACTTTGTAATTGGTTGGAGGATTTCATCATGAGCTGACATCGGTTAGAGAACCATTGAAAAACCAGCTGGGAGTACTGCACAGCCACCTGTTTCGTCAACCTAGTTCGGGACTCTTCATCAGTTCGC